ACACATATATATACATATATATATATATATATATATATATATATATGGGGCAGCCATCTTGGATTTTGAAGTGGCAACCCAATTTTTAAAAGAAACCTTTCTCGATGTGGCCACACCCCAAAATGGAAGTCAACACCTCACTTATTTTTTAAGTCACAAGGACAATAATTTACCATCCAACTGGAGCCCGTTGTTCAACACAAAAGTGTCTCTTAATCCATCCATGCCTCTTGTTCCAAAGGATTGCAGGTAGAGTTGGGATTTCTCGCCTGAGCCCATGCCTGACCTGAAATTTGGGCTGGGTCGGGCCAAAATTATGTGCTTGATGGGTGGGCCGGATCGGGCTCGGGCTCGAGCTTTTGATGCTGTTTTTATTGCACATGTGGCCCCGCCCTGCTTTGCTCTCATCACACATCTGAGGATTTGCAATTGACTCACAACAAGCAACATAATGGAGCTGCAAAGTATTTCAAAAGCTAAAAATGGAAGAAATCACTCTACAAAGCCAGCACAGTGAAACCTGCTCATGTGTGTCAGGTGCATGCTCAGGTCCAATCGGCCGGATGAAAGAGGTAAAAAAATTAAAATAAAGTCTTAAGCTTCAGATGGACAAGGGGATCATCAGCCGCGCGCATCCGCTGACCGGCCGGTTGAAAGAGGTAAAAAAAAAAAAAGTTGTGTTAAGCTTCAGATGGATCGCCTGATCACTGGCTGCGCACATCCGGCTCCACACCCTGCCGTCATCTGCGGTGAAGGAAGTTGCAGCATCTGTAACTACAAAAGCCGAAGCGAGCACGTTCCATTGAAATAGCCTTGTTCTATATTTTTCCAAATAGTTTTGCTCTAAAAATGTTTTTGTTCATCTGTATAATGGCCTATCTTTAAAGGTGATTTTTTTAGGCTATTTGTTTTGTATGTTAATATCCATTTGGTGAAACAAGAAATCTTATATCTTCCTTTCTTTGAAATATGTTTTTAAAATATCATGTCAAACTGATTTGCTTACAAAAGCAGTAACAGCTTAATTTTAAAAAATGTTGCGTTTGTTGTTTTGTTTTGTTTTTTTTTGGTTGGGGGGGGGCTGTAATTACAGTTAATTAGTCGGGTCGGGTTGCGTTTGGAAAAAGTGCCTATGGGTTAGGGCTGGGCCGGGTCGGATGTTTTAGGCCCAAATGCAACTGTAATTGCAGGGCTGCAGCTAGAGCAGGGAGGTCCACACATCTCTTCCTGCTCTTCAGGAAGGACTCCGAGGCGTTCCCAGGCCAGCTGAGACCTGGGTCTTACCTGTGGTGTCCTCCCAGTTGGACAAACCTCCCAAGGGAGGCTCTCAGGTTGCATCTGAACCACCTCCATCTTGTCTTCAGGTTGTCTGTAAAATATGAACGCTGACTCAGCATTTACACTTGCTGCAAGTCCTCTGAAAAATCTAATCAGTGGTTGACAAGCTGATGTTCTTCATGAAGAAAAACACCACCCTGACCAAACATGAGTTTATGTTCATTGGCCATTGGACATGTCCTGGACCTCATGTCCTCCAGGACAATGAAGAGGAAAGTGAAGTGTTTAGAGGAGAACAATGTCCAACACAGAAAGGGATAGTTTCATCCAGATGTTTACATACACTGTATAAAGAGAAACAACCGTCAGTTACAATTCCCCAAATTATCACCATCCATGTTTCTCTAACCACTTTTACCTTCTCCAGGTCATGGGGAACTGGTGCCCGTCTCCAGCAGTCACGGTCTGAGAGACGAGGGACACCCTGGACAGGTCTCCAGTCCATCACAGGGACACACAGATATGAACACTTGGAGGGAAGGGCCGGTGAAGTTATTGTCATGTCAGCGTTTTCTAATCTTAAATTGACTTTATGTCCCTCCCCTGTAAATCCTAGGACTGTGAGAAGGTTTTAGGAAAACACCCACATTGGATCATTGATGAAAGAGCTCATCTTCTCTCACGACTAAAGAGATGAAGAAGTGAGGAACAAAACCAGAGAGGAAGCTTGGTCACAACAAGCCTGAGGGAATCCCCCATGTGAGCACAACACAGGTCATCCTCCCTCCACAAAACACCCATCTGTTTCTCAGCAGCCATAAAACAATCAGTCAGAGACTGTTTCTGCACAGCAGAGAGGACACGACTGTCCCACATGGCTGCAAATCATGCAAACACACACACACACACGCACAGCCCCCTCCAAACACTGTTGTGGAAAGCACAACGTATCACAAGGTTATTCCACTGGGAGGTTCTCTGCGTCACACTCCTCGAGATGATCATCATGAGACTTCAGACAAATTCCTCCCAAACACAAGACAAGCTGCAGTCTGTCAGCATGTATGTGCAGCATGAGCACAAGTCAAACCACTGATTTACTGACATAAACATACAAATACACGCACACACACACACACACACATGCACATGCACATGCACATGCACATGCATGCACAGAGAGAGAGAAATGCTGGATCAGCAGAACCTTAAATGCTGTTCATCTGAACCACTGCGTCTAATCCCTGCTGATGATTGCAGCCAGTTCAGCTCTGATCTCCTACTTCCTACAACCATCACCATAATTTTAAACTCTACAACCACCATCCTACATACATCTCCACAATCATCACCCTGACATGCAACTCTACAACCACAGCCTTGATATACGACTGTACAACTATCACCACAATTTTAAACTCCACAACCATGGCCCTG